GTTGATGTTTGGCATCATCGGAATTTATATATGGCCAGTTTAGTTTAAACTTTGGATGAACCATTGCCGCTAAGACATTGTCATCATTGTATAAGTTTGGGAATCTAAAAGTTACAAAAATAGAGTATTTTAAATATATCTTAATCATAAAATTTTATAAATTTTTTAGCTTTAAACATTAAGTTAGAATAAATCTTCAGTCAAAATCAAAACAATATAAATTTTATTTACCTTCTCTCAATGCCTTTTAACAGAGAGTCTACTAAGGGCTGGCATAAGATTAGATTATTCAATCTCTTTAATTTGGTATTTAGGATACTTAAAGTTGCAACATAATACCCCATCTCCATATTATCCTCACCTTCCAAAATTTCAAGGGAAACAGCAACATATTGCATAACCTAAAAAATTTAAATGATATGGAAATGAATCATTATTAATTAGAATTATTTCTGTATACTCTTTTATAAAAGTATGCTCTTCATCGTTAATATATTCAATTTCAACAAGATCACAGAGATAATTAATCTCTAATCTTCTTTCCTCCAGAAAAAAAGCGATTAGTTTTATTGCTTGGTATACAGAATTCCATATTGTACGATTAGGGGTTAATAAATACCTTCCTAATTTTTTCTTAAACATGTCAGAGCTTTTAGGAGATTTGTTCTGCTTATTCCAAAAAGTTTGACATTTATAAAATGTCGATCTTGACACCCTTTTAACATCTTCATCATTTAAAGCTCCTTCAGCATCTACTGTTGCTATCAAATTTAAATTATGACAGTAGCATCTCTGATGGCTGGGTAACATTGTGGAGTTAGTTGAAGATCCTATAGAATATTGATTAGATTAACATGTATTATAAAATAATTTAAACCTTCTTCTAAGATCTCATTAATATCATTGGCATCAACACCTATTTCCTCCTCTTCCAGTACATGTTGACTATCATTCTATATCTCATCTTCAGCATTATCCTCACCAAATATTCTATATTCATATTAAATAGGACAAACCAGTTTTAATAGAAATGTCTAGTAGTATTTATCAAAAATGGAGTGGAAAAATCATTTCTTAGTATTCTTAACAACTCTGGTTTATATCAATTAACTTCTTTAATCACTAATATTGATTTAAATTTTATCATAAAATTATCTCTTTTAATTTATAAGAATCTATTTCATTTTGAACATTAGCATCCTTATATTCATCTTTAATAAATTCTGTTAAGATTATCTCAAATTTTTTAGTAGTGATTCTCATATTATCTATTATTTTCACAGATAAATGTCCATTTTTTTTATATTAATTTGGTTAAAAATTTCTTTATTTTATTTAGTTTCCATGTATGATAATCCTCTGTATCACTATCAAGAATGAATAAACTATTTTTTCTAAATCAATTGATTCTTCATCTTTTACTTCCAGAATTTTATTACAAGTTTTATTTATTAAGATTTTCATTATTATAATATTTATTACAAATATTATCATCATTATATGATCGATAATTATAATCTCTAAGTTGTTATTGTTATATGACTCTTTATAATATTTATTATCTAAATTTCTTTCATGGTAATTTTTATTTTTAAATCTATTATATTGATTCCTGTTATAATAAATGTCTGTATCACGAAAATAATTATTATTATAATCATTTTTATAAATTTGATAGTGAGAATTATTATTAAAAATTTTTTTTATATTTTTATACGACGTATTTCTATCCATATTTTTACCCTTCTATTATTTCTTACGTGTTTTAGAATTTAAAAAAAAACATAACATTGCAGAATCCTCTTTCATCCAGTTTGACCATGTTCCAATAGCAAAAGTAGCTGAAAAATCTCTGTAAAAGTAGTAAAAAAAAGTCGTTGCCAACATATTAAATTATAGAAGGCAGAAGATAATATAAAAAATGTTATATCTTTATTTTTTTTAAAATTCTTTATTATAAAAATATATCATCAAAACATTTTATCAAAACATATTATATCTTCAAAGTTAAAAAATTTACTAAATACATATCGCTTTAATTATATGTACAAAATTTTATTATAGGTAAAACAAAAATTAAATTATTTACAAGTAAGAAAAGAACAATATTTTAAGGTTATTTTCTTTACAAAATTTATATTCAAGTCAGAAAATAAAAAATAACCTTTAAAACATTTTTTGCAAAACTAAATTTGTAAGTTAAAAGAAAATGACTTTAATATAAAAATATAAAAGTTTTTTTATATTTAACACCATTCGATAATAGAATATGCACCCGTCGTTTTAAATAATATTGAGAAAAACAACACTTGTCTCTCCAAAAGGTGGACGCGGGCCATGAAATAACCCATGACACGATAGGTCACGACAGGTCACGACGTGAGTGCGAATAAAATTTAAATTATTAGGCGTAACTGGGCATGACGGACCTTCCGAAATTTTACCGGCCGTGATTGGGAGAGAATATAAATTTCCCGTGAATCACGGAAATTTCAATTTTAAAATTGTTTTTTATGAATATAAATTTGCAATTTTAAAATTATAAAATATATTTTTTAATTTAATTTGGTACTTTTTTAAAAAAAAAATTTTTTTACATAAAGAAACTTCCTTATTTTTTAAACAACATTTTTTCAAAAAATTATAATGTAATGAAATATAGAAAATCTCTCACCTCTTGTTTAGCAATGGAAATTTGGTAATAAATGTATTTAATTTAAATGTGTTTTATTTTCATTAACATTACTAAAATATTTTATCAATATTCAAAGAATGCCCTGATAATCTGAAAAAGAGGTTTATCTATGGAAACAAAGATTAGTAAAATTTTTTTAACCTTCTAAATATGAAATAATATTAATTAAAACCCTAAAAAACAAGACATCATTTAAATAAAAAATATATTATGCAGCTACTACATAGGCTTAATTCTAAATCTGAATTTAAGTCTTAAGTTTTTAATAGATGAAGAAAAGGTAGATATATATAAAAGACCTTAAAAATGCGAAATAATATAGAATTAGATGATATGCTTAAGTCAATGCCAACTATCATTTATAACTTTTCTCATTCATATTGCACCCATAAAAAGCTATATATTCTAAATAAAACATTTAGAGAATATCTAGATAATTCTGATGAAGAATCAACACCTACTGATGAAAGTTGTGTGGATGAACTTAAAAGATTTATTGTTCATAAAATAAATAACAATGAGAAGAATATTTTTTGGAAGCTGAAAAATTATTTTTCTTTTTTTGAGAAAATTAGCTAGTAAAATTTTATCAACCCCAGCTAGGTCGGATTTAGTGAAAGGTTGTTTTCTATAGTCAATCGCTTATTAAAGGAATAGCGAACACAATTGAAATAAAAAACATGGACATTCTTTTATAAAGATTGATATTCTTTATTTTTTCGAAATAAAAATTTTTATTTATAAATTGTAATATTTTGTGTTATTAATATGGAATTAGAGAAATAAAAACTATGGTAGAATAAATTTAAAAAAAGCATAAAATTATAGCAATGAAATTTTGAAAATTTAACACCGTGAATTTTAGGGCGTAATTATTTTTATTGGCATTATGAGTGGTCGGACCCTGAATAAAAAATAAGATACGCGGCCACCTCCACTTTCAAACATCTATACAATGTAGTAATGCTCCCCCTACATATTTATTCTGTGCGCCACCAGCAACACTTAAAGATCGTTATTGAAACATATCAAAATAGTTTCTTTCCTATTTATATTTCAACACTTCAAAACCAAAAGTCTTCTTGTGCCCATTTTCCCATTTTCTCACCTTTCTTTAATAATTTATACTAGTGCCACTATTTGGGCAAAGTCCTCTCCCAAGCCGGTAATAATAATGTACCATTACTAAAAACCCTACATTTCTACTTTATTATTTAGTTATAATAGACTCGCCTCTCTTCCTCTAAATCTGTGTTCTAAAAATGCATCACCATCACTTCTAACATACTCTTCGACCTCGCCCGCAACCCATTTTCTTTAATCAAACACCTCTTTCAATATCTGTTTATGTTTATGTCACTCCAGTAACCAACATATCATCCATATAATAAAATACCCCTTCCAACCCTTAAATAAGAAATCTCACTTGACACTAAAAAACTGGGGCTGATGTTAATCTATGAAACTATGCAACTCTTTCCGAGTTGGAATTGTTAAAAATTTTCATTTCTTCAGGCGTAGCCCCCAACTGCAATTAGGCATTTAAAATATATTCCTTGAAATAATGTTGTATCAAGTTCATAAAAATGATGAACGACGTTACTTTTATCTCTAACAAACTTCTAATGTGAATGTATTTCTTTTTTTGATGAACGCGTTCGTTTTTACGATATTTTTAAAAATTATTAAAATATTTTGGAAAGGGAGCTCAGTCTCATTTCCAAATTTCTAAAGATGGCTAAAAATAAAAAATATTAGATGAGAAGTTTATCTACCCCCCCCCCCCCCCCCAACCTCCCACCGCAATACGCCACTTATCATAAGACAAGTTAAAATATTTTCCAGCACTTTAAAATATATTATAAGACATGTTAAAATATATTATTAAAGTATAATTATGTTATTTAAATTAAATATACAAGTAATAAAACTATTAGTACTTATTTATTTTTGAAAATAATTTAATAAAGTTCTACCTCAGATATCTAATTTGATTTCCCAAAAAACATTAAAAAAATTAAAAATTTTACTTAAAGAGGAAAAATGTAATGTTATAATAAAGAATTTACCTGATTTCCAATAATTCATTTTAAGATATTTAATGAAAAAGAATAAATTTAAATAAATAATTAAACCTTGAAAATAAAATGTAATAAAATATAATTGTTGTGAAATGACATTTAAACTTTCTAAAAATAAAATTATATATAAAAATGTAATTACATTATTGATCAATAAAATATGAATAAAAATCTCGCCTCAAACCTAAACAAAACTGCCAAAATCATGTCAAGAATATTCACATGTCTAATAGCCATATAGTCTGATATGATAGGTTTTCGGTAATATTTTTTGATGGAATTTCAATCGAATTTATATCACAAAATAATTGAAAGGGATGAACGCGAATTTTTGCCATTTATTGATATAATAGATTCACGTTTATTATTAATAATTATATATATCATATTATATTATTAGATAACAAAGTTCTCACTAATTTTGTACTTTTGAAAAATTATGTATTAGATTTAGAATGTGATATAGGCAAACTTAAGGATGAGAATACTAAACTTCATTTATTTGCTACAAAAAATATGTACATAAACTTAATTATATTAAATATTAATTAAATTTAGATTTCAAAAAGTAGACAATTTAAATGATGATAATGAGAAAGTTGATGGAATTAAAAATGATTATATGTTATCACTCCACACAAAACTATTATTGTTGCAAGAAGAATTGACATATATGTTAAATTATAAAAGAGAGGTTACAGTTTGTATCTCATATTGTTTAATTTATTATACCTTGTATTTTAAGGAGGATAATTATTTAAGTTATTGAATTTCATATTAAGATAACTATTTTAATATTCATATTAAAGTGGTATAGAAAATCTGAAGTTTTTAGAAAATCTTTCAATAAATAATTTATAGCATATGATTTTTAATTTTGAAAGATTTGATTTTGTCAGAATTATATTTAAGCATGTATATAAAGTAACTATTAATTTTAGAAAATTTTTCATTAAATTTTACCTTAATTTTTTAAATATAGATTTATTATTTTAATTTTAAATGTTTACTATTCTAAATTACATGAAATTTAATGTGATTTAGCAAGAGATGCAATAATTGCTCCATTCAAGCTGACAAAAATGGCTTGGTCAAATTTATAGCCAAAAAAATTGGATCAGTTTTGGAGCATGAGCTGAAAAAAAAAATTGGCTCAACCTTGGATTGCCAGCTGAAAATTGGTTCAGCCTTGAACTCGAAATCTCTGTATTATCACTCAAAATTGAAACTTAATAAATAATTATACTTTTATATTATATTTGACTATTGATAAATAAGGATTGATATATTTAATTTATTTGGTCATAAAATTATAACCCAATTTGGTGCTCAGAATATACTTATAAAAACTTTCGCTCATTTCATAATTTATTAAAAATAAATAAAAATTATTATTCAATAAATATAAAAATTTATACCTTCCCTCAATTTTATTAAATAAAAATATTATAAATTCTCCTATTTTAATTTGTTCTATTTTTCTGTTTTGCTTTTGTTTTAAATTTCTATGGAAAATACTAATGTTGTTAAAGTAACTACCTTTTACCAAAAATGTAAGTTACAAATGTAACTGTAAGTAGTTATATTTTAAAAGTTACAAAAGTAACTGTAACTAGTTATATTTTTTGAAATGTAACTGCCAAAAGTAACTAGTTACTTTTAAAAATATATATGTATATATAAATCAAAATAATATATTCCAATAATTAATTTTATTTTAATATGTTTTTTTAAAATAATATAACTATTTATTAAAATTATAATACTATATCTATACTCTATGTAAAAATATATAATTAAAAGAAGAGATATAAAATAAAATAATGTATTGAGGTTTGGTCTGTGGGGCTTAATGACCCATGTATAGATATATATATTTGGATCAAAAAATTTGTTTAATATTCTTTATCGTGGGTATAAGCCCTTTTTGGATCACCTGTGATTAAACTTAACCTTTGCCCTATTGTTTTGAATAATTTTAGGGTTTGGGGTCCAAATGATTCACAGGTGTCTGTACCGGAACACTAAAATGATTATTAAGGTGGCTATATTTATTTGTTTTTGTATTTTCAGCTTTCATGATAGAGTTGAAATAAAAAGATTTGGCAAAATGATCTAGACATGTATAATTCCAAGCGAGGGGTATACCTTGGTTCCAAGGCACTACCGTCATTCCATCAGGGCTGAAGCCAGAGGGTTTCAGTGTAGAAGGAATATTTGCGAATTTCAAGATTCTATTGATAATCGAATTGTTTCACAAAACGAAGACCTTGAGTTTCACAAGGGACACATGATGTTGACGTTACGATTTCACAAAACGAAGACCTATAGCCAGGGATCCGAACCTGAACCGAACCTAAACCGCTAAAAAAATACTAGCCGAACCTGAAGCGAACCGCTATTATGTCTCTGAACCGGTTCGAGCCTTATGATTTTATGCTTATAAAACAATATGTAAGTTATTATTAATATATTGAAAAAATTTCAATTACATTCAAATTATTTTAAAGATTATCATCAATCACATTTGATTGGTAAGTGTCGGTCATATTTTTATAAACTTTAGTATATTGTCATTTTACAACATTTTTTTAAAATATTTTAAGCTTGTAAATTATAATGCTTAGAGAAAAATTAAATACAAAATATTATTATAAATGACACATCAAATCTGATATCATATTGGCAGTGCCGGCTACCCAAGTCAATGTAGAAAGATGCTTTTCAACAATTAAATTTAAACTATCTCCTTATAGTGTAATTTGTGAGAGACGAATTTTGAAAATATATTAATTGTGCGGCTTAATAAAAAAAATTGTAAAATAAATAAAATATTGTTCATATTAAAATTAATCATTGATAAATATTCTTATTTTTATATTTATAAATTAAATATTATTTTATAATGTGCAATTAATTAATAAAAATGAAGGTTTTATACATATGTTTTTTAAATTAATGATAAAATAAAAAAAAAATTTTCCCTATACATAATTCGAATGTAGGTTTGGATACAAAAGTGTTCAAACCGGTTCTTAGAGGTTGGAACCGTACCGATATTTTAATTTTTTACAAACCAAACCTGAACCTTGAACCGTTATTTATATCCGTACCTGAACCCGAACCGAACCTATATTCGTTTCAGTTTGGGTCCCTGCATAGCTATTCTTAGTTCTTCCTCGGTTAATAAACACGCCTAAATTAGAACTAGGTATTGTTTCTAACCATTCATAGCCAGGTTGGCATATGGCTGAGGCTGGTATTATTTGATCCAGCAAAAGAATCGTATTGTTATCATTCTGTATATTAATACTAGGGGTTGGGTTTAAGGGAAGAAAGAGTGATGGAGATTTTCTTTGAACATCTTTGAAGTGTAAGTATTCAACGCAATGCATGTATCAATGGTAAATTCCAGTCTCAGTCTTAAATTTAGATATGATCAGCTTGGAGAATCTTTGCTCCAGAGGTTTAATGCTGCCATATGATGTGGATTCGATAGTATCCAAGTCTCCAAGTGCGTATGGAAATTTAACAATTGGGGATAAAATGGTTGAAATTAAGGATATGGTGGAATGGATACATATACCACCTAGCTTTGATGAAAGGGCAGCTTGCATATTGAAGAGGGAAGAGAATTTGATATTTAAGATAGATTCGAGAGTATTTTTATAATGAACCTCAAGGTCTAATAATATTTCAAGGGACATGAAAATTGTTTGTGAACAAAAGGCATGTATAATTTTAGAAATGAATAAAAAATATTTAAATATATAAAAAGCCTGACGAGCAGGTAAATGTTTTAAATTATTTTTCATTCTATTGAATTTGACAATAAATACATCTCTAAAATGAAATATTTGCCCTCTCAGTTGCTGGTAATATTTATGGAATTTCATATAAATGTATTTTTTTTAAATTTTACTAAATTAGATCATAGAAGAACGACAAAGACTTAGATTATTTTAAATTAAATAATTTTTGAATAAACTACTAAATTAGTAATTACTTTCTAATAAGAAAATTTTTAGGCCCAGCCCGGATTTTTTAAAAATATATTATATTTATTTTTGAGTTTTATAGCTAATAATGGCGATTTCAAATATTTGGTTTTAAAATATACGGTCTGGCCCGGATATTTTAAAAAAAATTTAAGGTTCGGGTTGACTATTTAAAAAAAAATTAAGATACGTCCCGGCCTGTGTACCCTGGCTTAGGGCCAGGCCTGCAGGTCTCTAATAAATATATTCTATTTTCCGATTTTTTTTCGCTTTAAATATTTTTTTATATAAATAAATTGTTAATTTTTTCAAATAATTGTATATAATTATTATATCTTAATTTTTTTTATATTAAATAAATGCGTTCAGTAAATAAATAATGCGTTTATGAATGATGTATAAAGTAAATTATTATGTAACTAGTTACTTTTGAAATATAACGGTAACTAGTTATATTTCAAAGTAACTTTTAACAACACTAGAATATACCAACCCTTATAAACATATTTTTGCCTTTTTATAAATTGGTTCTAATTTTCTGTTTTGTTTTAAATTTCTATAGAAAATACCGTTACATATAAACATATTTTTTACATAATTTTTTTGAGAATTATAATTAATAAAAATTTACAATTACTTCCTTCTTTTTAATTTCATGTTCTTAAATTTGTTATGTTTTAATATTGGAAAATTAGCCCCATATCACATTAACTAATTTATATAAATTTTAAAATGATAAAAACAATCATAAATATTTGTTTTCGTTGACATATTTAAATTACAGTATAAATATGATTTGTTGTAAATCATTTGCATATTTGTAATAACTTTCTTAAAAAATTGTTTAATTTGCTGTTTTTTATTTTTAAATGTTATCAATATGTTATTTTTACAATAATTACAGAAAGTTAAACAATTTTATAAATAAGTCGTTACAAATATATGGAAATTGTATAACAATTCATATTCACACTGTATAAGATTTCAGTAGAAAAAGAATAAACATGTTATCATTAATAATTTTAAGTTGAAAAGGATGTAATGAAATAAAATTAACACCCCCATATGAATTTTATCTATTTAAACAAAAACGGAAAAAAAATTTATTTATCTTGGATGGGGAGGAAAAAAACATAATATTATATCAATTCCTTAATAAAAAATAAACATGATTTTTTATAATTTCTTTTTTAAAACGGAAGTTAAGCAAGATTTTAGAACATTTAGGGAGAAAAATTTGAATTTATAGTGATAGGATATTTTAATTAGCTTTTATTTGATACCCATTGATATATTGTGTTAGTAAAAATTTTCAAGCCTCCAAAGGCCAAGACCCTCTCACTTGGAATAATAATTATGATTATAATCAAAATATAATTAAATTTTCTTTTATTTTGAAACCCATATCAATATTTTGAGTTGATAAAAATATTCCTGACCCCTCAAGACCTAGATCTGCTCATTTAGAGTAATAATTATGACTACAATCAAAATCTAATTAAATAACCTTTTATTTGTCGCCCATATCAATAATTTGCGCTGAACCCTGGGTCTGTGCTTCGGGTTCCTGGAGCAGACCTGAGCACTGGGTCATAAATTTTACGACCAAGCAAATTAAAATCACTATACTCATCCTTATTTTTCATTAGTCAAATATAATATAAAAGTATAATTATTTATTAAGTTCCAATTTAGAATGATTACACAGCAAGCTTCAAGGCTAGCCGATTTTTTCTGTTTGAGCCAAGATGGAGCCGATTTTTAGGCTTACGCTCTAAGGTTGAGCCGGCTTTAGTGGAGTGATTTTGCATCACTAAGCAAGGCAATATTTAGAAAGACCATTATATTTTGGAATAATTCTTAGAGTTTTTATGTCATTTTTTAAAATATATTTACTTGGATGTAAATCCAGGGTTGCCAAACCTCCCAATTTTGTCATAAACCTCCCAAATTTTAATTCTTGCTTACGCCCAAATTTGCTGTCTATTAATTTACTTTCTCCTGTTTTTTTGTAAAATAAATGTAGGCCTTCTTGGGATTTCGTTATAAAATTCTAAAACATAAAATATTTGAAATAAAAACTCAGAGTAGATACTTAAAGTCAACGGTGTGGCCATGATTTATCCATAGGGGGGGGGAATTTTTTTTGGGGAGGGGGCTTTTGCTCCAAACCTCATTTTGTCCGATCTTTGACCAAGTCACTTGTAAAAAAATGTTATATTGTTGATTTTTCTATCTTATATTTATATCATCTACATTAAAGTTGGCTGAACAATTTGAAGTACTAATTCTAAAATATGCAAATGATTTGTTTTATAAGAGTCTGACTTTCACCAGTAAAGCCAGCATAAATAAAAAAATTATAGCAAACCTTACGATTAATAAACAGTTGAAAGCATTATTCTTAAAATTTTAAGTGCTCAATTTTAAATTAATTTAATCCATTTGATAGATAGAAGAGAAAAAATTGGCATTATGCTGGAATGGAAAATATAAAAACTATATATCTAGCATACTTCAATGATGAAGCGTCAAGTTAATACTAGGGAAGCAATTGAAAAATATTTTTTATTAGTCAAACCATTCATAAAATTAAGATTTATAAATAAGCGGAAATCTTCTTTGCTTTTGAGTTTTCAATTCGATTTTCGTCAAATGATTTTAATTGAATCATCAACTGCAAATGAACTGTTTTCTTCATGCCACTAAACTACATACAAAAATTATTCATATCCAAAAATCCTTTATCATTACACATTCCAAACAATTTTCCTTTGGGAATAATAGCCATGACTAACAATATAGAGAATTAGAAAATCAAAATTCTTTTCCAGTTAGCCACTCATATTTTTCTTATTTATTGTTTGAAAATTACAATGCATGTTTTTATTTCTTTTTTTCAAGTTTTATAAAATTGGTTTTGGTCTAAATTTCTTCACATCAAAATTTCTTGAGCTTAATTATATTTTAAAGTAATTTTTAATAATCAAATTGCAATTATTAGACATTTAAATTAATTAATTCTTTTAAAAAAGAAGGATTTTTTTTATTTAAAAAAGAAGAGATAAAAATATAATATAAAAAATTTTTCTTCCTCTTTTATTTAGTAAAAAAATAAGCAGTTTATTTTTTAAACGTAAAATTACACAATTCATTCGCATAATTTTCTCTTTATTTGTTAAAAAACTGGTGAATCAGATATTTTACTTTCGTTTGATGATGGATAAATCAGAAATTAACTTTTCGTCTACAATACTTTTATATTTTATAACCTAAAAATTTTAATTTGATTTTGCCTACCTTATTTTTTATTGTATATCTTATTGACGATTTATTATTTCCCTACAAAACCTGCATTAATAGAATATAAATTACCCTTTTATATATTAAAACTATAAGACCAAGGAGTTGATAAATAGCAGGGCTGCCAGATGGTTTAGTTTAGTAGGGACATCCCACTTGAGTCATTTTTATATTGTGTATACAGGGCAGCAATCCACTTTGCTTCGAGATATAAGGTATAAAAAAAATTCATACAATAATTCCCGTTGTACTTACACTGAAACAGGAGCTAGTTTCCATCCCATATTTTCATATTTATAAGAAAGTACACGAAACAAAATCATATTTTTTTTTTTATCTAAAAAGTATTATTTATATTAAATGATATATCAAAATATTTATAATCTTTAATTCAATAAGATGACTCAATAATGTGATGATAAATTTACTTAAATTGTAAAAATGTTTAAAGATGATTATATTATAGTGAATCTTTATTTTTTAGAATTATATATAAATAATCTTCAAGTTAAGGATAAAATAAAAAATAACGTGAGTGGTCTCTGGTACAGTTATTGTGGATGTTGAACATAAATTAGATAAATTTTTACATTATATAATTCTTCACTATATTATTAATATATATCGAATTTTTTCGCTATATTTGTTTGCCATTATTTTAGTGTACATTATTACTTTTGATGAGGTTTAATATTTTGTGAATTTGTTTTTTGAAATAGAAGCGCTAATACCATAACCATAAAGGCAAAGGTACTCGCTAGGAATTCTCTATTTTCCCTATCGGGCGCAAGCCTTGTCTTACCTATATTGAAGGAAATCGATTATAATCAAAGTCAACGATACCCGAAAGATGCCGAGATTTGATGATATCGTTGAAAATTCCATATAAGTTAGATGGAACGACCGAGCCCGATAAGGGCGCGCCAACTTTATATACAGAGTCACATACCAATAATACGATGGACATAGTTTCCTGTCCGAGGTCTTGGTAGGTAAACAATTCGGGATTTTAAGGCTTTGGGGACCATTGCACGTCGGCTAGTTATTTTTGGATGTCATAGTATTCAGTCATAAAACTAGGTTACATCTGATATTTATGATTCTGGGTTTCGACTGGTATCCGGTGAGGCGATGAGGAGAGTGATCATCATTGTTATTTTTGGATGTCATTTTTGCTGGTTGTTCAGAAGAGAAGATCAAGCCCCTAAGTTCCCTGATTGATGTTTTCTAAGCAGATTGGGAATACGATATTCTTCTTCGGACAGGTAAACTGATCCGGTCACGGAGTTTTCTCAGATCCTCGTTTTTGGCCCTGAAAAGGGAGTATGATTAAAGGTTAGTGAGATATGCGATAAATATTTACTCGGTAAAAATGTGTTAAATAGTGAATATTCAAGGATTAAAAATATATAGTAACTAACGATTAGATCAAAATAAAAATTTAACTCTCATTAGTGATTGGACAAATATAAGAAGATAATGCATTGGATATTGGTTAGCTCTAAAATGGGGGCATCAGGTATAGAAGATAATTTCTTTTCTTACCTTTTGAGGCGGACGATTTCTTGATGCCTTTCTTATGGTGTATGAAGTCTGTTATAGTGCGGGCTGCTGGGAATTTACGAAAGGGTTGATCTTCGGCACTTTTTATCTCTCCATTCAAGTACGCGGAGTAACAAGTGTCATAAGTCATGGCTGTAGAGAATATATCTACAATTTTTTATAATTTAAATTTAGGAATTTTGTTCTATCGCCATATCTAAATAATTTTGAATAAAGTACTCTGGAAAATTATATTTGCATTTTATATAAACTTCCTCCACTTATTTTCATTTTCTAAAATCATTCATGTCTGGAAAACCATAAATACGGGAACTTTATTTTCTCATTATTTTTTAATCATATTAAGGCTTAAGGCAATTTTTTTAAAAATCCAATTGTTTTCATTTAAATTTTTAACCCATTCTCTCTCCATATTCAAAAATTCTAATGCCTATATAATACTCATTTAATAACTTTAGAATATCCTAATTATAGCTGATATGACCAAAAAATTACGCGAAAAAGATGACTATTTGTTAATTAAAGAAGACGAGTAATTAAATTTTATATTGAAAATTACCCAAATTATTTTAGAACAAAAAATAAAGATTCAGATATATTGAAGCTAAAACAAAATAAATTTCAACTGAGTCAATCGTTAAAAGAGTTAGAAGCAACTAATCAGGTTATACATTGCATAATATATTATGAATAGTTAAAAATTTTTTATAACTTTCTTATTTCCTTTCACATGACGACTGTGCTGCAGCGTCCCCAGTTAAAATTTAAAAATATAAAAAATGGCTTAGGATTCTATTTTTCAAAGATAACATCCTATTTTTTAATAATTGTCACCCATTTAGAAAATTATATATTAACTAGTAGATAGCCCGTCAAAAATGACGGGGAATGAAAATCTTCTTACTTTATGTATGTTACCTGTTATTTGAAAATAATATCCAATTTTTATTCTTCTTACTCCCTCATCCATTCAGGCCAGGTTTAATCCATTAAAACCAAGTGCTATGGTTTGAGTAAAAATAAAAAAGCATTTACTTGATAATAACAATATTATTTGTTAAATATTACTGATTACTTACACCTAATATTTAATATTAAAAAAAATTCCCAGGCAAAGTCTAAAGCTATATTAATTATGAAAAATTCTCCCAAGTCCAATGAAAGATCATAATAATTTTGTTAGTTAAGAACTGAAATAAAGTATTTAAATAATCATAATGAATTTAAAATACAATCAAAATTCAGATTTTCATGGGCCTTGGTTTTTTGATCAGGTTAAGCCCAGGCCTGCAAAAAAAATTGTTTTGAGCCATGACCTATAATTAATAATAAAAAAATTCTCAAGCGTCCAAGCTTATAATAATTTTGAAAAATTTTCCCCAAGCCCAGCCCAATATAATTTATAAAAAAAATTTCCAAGCCCAGCCCAACCCATAATAATTTTATAAAAGAATTTTCTCAAACCTGGCCAACCGATATTAATTTAAATTTTTTTCCAAGCCTGGAGATAGGTAAATCTCTAAAAACCATATCTATTTTTTAGTCTATTTTAACCCAGCTCACCCCAACCAAGGCCAACCCATTAAGACTAAGAATGAATACTAATTTTTTGAATAAAAATATATTTAAATTAGATTTTACCTGAGGGCCATATAAATATTCTGTGTTAAATATTACACCTATGCCTAATATTAAAAAAATTCCCAAGCCAGGTCCTCGCACTTGGTTTTCTCAAACCAGCAAAAGACCATAATAATTTTGATAGTTGAGGACTGAAATAAAATATAATAAAAAGTCACAATGCATTTAAAAATACAATCAGAATATGAAAGTTGCATGGGCCTTGGTTGATCAGGCCTTGCCATGTCTTCAAAAGAAATTTTCAGGCCAATTTATAGCCCATATTTAAATTTAAAAATTTACATGAATCTTAGACTATAATAATTATAAAAAATGTTTCTCAAGCTATGTCCAAGTCCATATTAATGGTGAAAAATATTTTCTAAGCCCAGGAAAACCCAAATAATTTATTTTGATCCAGAAAAATAGGTCTGGTGTAAGGGGTTTATAAGAATTAAATGTGTCTAATTTCAAAATTATTATCAAATGAAGGGTAAATATCTGATTTACCTATGATTCTACTGGTGAGCTCCTGGTATTTATATGAAATTCATGAATACATATTAAAGTACCATTCTGAAAATATGTTCATCCTAATTTAAATTTTAAACAAACCAAATGATTTATTACTTATTTACAAAATATAAAATTAAATTTAAGAAATTGTTATTAAATTACAATAGAAAAAATAAAAAGATATGTCTAAGTTAACAACAATCATAGTTAAATTATATATAAGTAAAACAAAAAGTTTATACATTTAATCAAAAATGCTATAATAAGTTATGAATAACATACATTCTACAATTATGAAGTTATAAGTAAATGTATAAAATATTCCTATCTTATGAGGTTTTATGTTAAAAGTTACTTTTGAAACATAACTAGTTACAGTTACTAGTTACATTGGCAAATACATAACTAGTTACAGTTACTAGTTACATTTTTACAAAAGTAACTAGTTATTAGTTACAGTTAATTTCAAAAGTAACTTGTTACACTTTATACATCCTTCATATGCGTATTATTTATTTATTGAATGCATTTATTTAATATAAAAAAAATTAGGATAAACAAAGTATAATTAGTTATTTAAAATAATATACAATTTATTTATATAAAAAAATATCGCAAAATTGAATATTTACATCGAATATAAAAATATATATTTGCATTGAAAAAAAAAACATTTATTTTTCATAAAAATTAGAATCTATGTTTATTTGCTTTTAACAACAAATTAATTTCAAAGTTATTATCTAGGAGACGTGCTCGTTTATCTCCAAAAATGAGCTTACCTAGACTGAATAAGCGCTCTACGGGAGCACTTGATGTTAGAACAACATTATATTTAATAAAGAGTAATTTTAACTTTGGAAAATCGTTATATAAAGAAAAAATGTTGTTATTAGATTTGATAAAGTTTTCTATAAGTTCATTATCCAGAATATTTTAGCACTTTAGGTCAAAAAATCCAACTACATCAAGTGATGTTGGTTTTGAGCATGATTTATTCGTCTGGGATTCACTTTGAGGTATTAAGGTATTTATTAAATTTAAAATTTCCTCCTTTTTTGCTTTATTCCTTTCTTGCCTAATCCAAGGCCAGTCAGTTTTAAATAAAGGGTGAAGAATTGCAGCAATGATGTTGTCATTATCATAAAGATTATTAAATCTATAACATGATATTATTAATTTATAAATAATTATTTGATTTTAGTTACATTTTTTCAATACTAGCTAATATAGTATCCTTTAGAGGTTGACAATATTTTAATCCCTGCACATCTGCCATACATATAAGTATTTGTGTTATTGTTGGGAACAATCAAACATTTTCACAAAATTTTAAATTAATAAATTTAATTTAAAGAATAAATTTAATTTAAAATTAATTTATCACAACATATTAAAAATAAAATTAATTATTTGAATATATCTTTAAAAGTAACTAGTTACTTTTGGCAGTTACATTTCAAAATTTTTAACTAGTTACAGTTACTAGTTACAATTTTAAAAATATAACTAGTTACAGTTATTTTTTAGCCAAAATGTAACTAGTTACAGGTATATAAAAATTTATATTTATTTTGGGGTTATTCTAAAATTTTCCATTATTTTTTATAAAATATGTTAATGATATATTTAGTAAATTTATTTATGTTATTTATTTGTATTTGTAATTTATAATCTAAAAATTTATTCTTGCTAGATAAGTGTTTTATGTTACCAAAGTGTGCTTTGTCCCTTCCATATCTCTCTTATCTTTTCTGAAACCCCAATATAATGGTATAAAATTCTAAATTATACATAAATTCAAGAATTAAAATAGTATTTAAATAAATCTCTTATTACTATTGAATAGGTACTTGCCATTTAAAGTTCTACCTTATTCCTATTGAATTGGTACTTGATGCATTTAAAGTTCTATTTACCCCTAAATATTCAGAAATATGTATAATATTTGGTGTGTATTCAGTGCATTCAATACAGGCAAAATTTTAAAAATGTCAACTATTAATTAATTTATGAAAGTTGCATGGGACATGGTTTTTTGATCAGGCCTGGCTATGTCTGCAATTTTAGACCAATCTATAACCCATATTTAAAATTCAAAAATCTTAAAGCACCTCTATTTTAAATTTTATCCAATATGATTTCCATCACATTTTTAAATTTTGATATTTCTAATACATGCTCACAGTTAGTGTTTTTAATCGTCAAGTCTAGTCGACTTAACCGAAAACTGGAGTCAAGCTCGAGTTGTGAACTCAGGTCTATCAACTTGAGTCGACTAGAGGACAAATAGTTCTATGAACTTAGTCGACTAGAGGACGACTTAGTCGACTAGAGGACGATTACTTCTATGAACTTGAGTCGCCTACTAGAGGACGAATAGTTCTATGAATTTGACTCGTTGACTAGTGGACAATAGTTCCATGAACTTGAATACTAAAGGACGAAGATTTTAAATGAATTATTATTAATAAAACATTTGTTTTTTATTTTTAACTTTAGATTTCCAACTTGAGTCGTTATACGAAATATAATATACTAGAGTCGATTAGAAGACGAATAGTTCTATGAACTTGAGTCGTCGACCAGAGGACGAAGATTTGAAATTAGTTATTATTAATTAATAAAACATTTGTTGTTTTTTTTATTTTTTACTTTAGACTTCCAACTTGAGTCGTGATCGTTAACACGAGTTATATACTTATGCCGACTAGAGAACGAATAAATTATTGGGAATGGGGAAGATCGTGATTTAAAACAATTTAATTTAATATAGCGATACACTTTATACCAACAAGATGTTTATTATAAAAATCGTGAGGGGGGGGATACTGCTTAAAACCTATTCATACTGTGATTTATATTGCCGACTTTTTTTTTAGATGAACCAGAGCTATGTCAAGACAAACAACATTTGTTTTATTGTAGACCTTTTTATTATCGGGATAATTTTTTATCTCACGAAAATAATTTATGCCTGAAATTTTTTTTTCAATAATTAATATAATTTGAATTTATTTTTTGTTTCTTCGAAACACTCCCTTTTTCCTCTTTTTATAAATATATTATTTGTTTTCATGGTACTTTTAAAATAAGATTTGTATTTTATTTTATATTTTTATAATAAAGAAAGTAACATATTTTATTGTTTTATTATGTTATCATATAAAATAATTTTAAATATGATTGTGCAAAAAAAAATTATTAATAAAATATAAGAAATAAATAATTAAATATTATTATTAACCCCCCACACCTCAATAATAACCAATCCCCTCCCCTTGTTTCTTTCTCCCAAAATAAATCTATCTCTTTCAAAATAAATTTTCTTGTTTTTTTCACCATTAACAATATTTATTTAAAAAAAATTTTTTTTTATTTATAAATAAATTTTTGATATGTTCAAACGATTTATATTTTTTAATAAAAAAAGAATAGTAAATAAATCATATATTATAATTGCACATATACAGTAATAATATGATTTGTTATTGTTGTAACACATTTCCATAATGTGAAAAAACATTC